AAGCAAGGCGATTTGTGAACTAAGTATAGTTCTCTCAGTGTCCATACTCATGTTATCAACATGACAGTATCTGTCACTAAAAAAAAAAAAAAAAGAGAGAGAGAGAAAGTGTTAAAGTACAAACAGCTCAAACAACTTTAGGCAAAGAACTAAGCACGGAATTTTTTCCCCCTGGGAATGCAGTGCAGAGTGTACTTTGGTGGTGGGAAGGAATCCTGGTGGAGGATTGGGGGAGGAAATAGACCGTGGGAAGGAGAGAGATGGAGAATGAGCGGGGTTGGCTGGGACACAGTCTGTTACTTTTTGGGGCATTCGGCTTGTCTATTTCAATTAGAAAAACTTAATTTACAATTTAAGGGAAATGTTATAAATTTTGGATTTTTGGATTGATCTTAGATTTTGAGATCATTTTGAAAAAAAATCTCCATGACTGTCTGAACACAGCTGTTGTAAAAGCTTGGGTTTTACTCAAATTTTCTTTACATTTTGGTGAGTCTCTCATCCTCATTTGGAATATCTTTTTATTTTTAAACATTTTTAGAAATGTGGATTTTAAAGATAAAATTTGCTGAGACCTATAATAGGGGTTGTTGAAATCATGGATGCAAATTTGTCTTCAAGTTTTTTGTTTTGTTTTTAAGTCAGGTTTGACTCATAATGGGGCCAAATCAAGCTTTAAAATGTACATTGGAGTCATTCTAATCTGCTGCAATGGATCTTCCTGAGTCTGTTCATTTCTGTGTGCAGAATATTTTAAAGGTATGAATTACTCTGTAAGAAAAGCTCCTCTGGGACGTAAGTGCTCATTAAAGTTGATGCAAATTATATATGATTATTTCTATAAAGAGGCAAGTCAGCTGAATTCATGACAAGAGAAGAGGGAAGAAAAGAAAAAAACCTCTGTTACTTAAAAGATTGTTTACATCTAATTATGTCTTGCACGTGTGTTACAAAATAGAATCAAAGCCATGAATAAACAACGAAGAATAGCATAGCAACATTTGCATATGGTGAGTTGGTAGGGCTTTGTTTGCAAATCTTTTAATAACTTATGAATGTATAATATTGAATAAAATTTTTGAATAATAATGGCAACTATATCTATTGGTGTTGTTTGATAGAGGGCAATAAGGGAAATACTGTCATGTCCATCCAGTAAAAAATGTCCCTCAATATCTTGGAATAATATTTTGTAGCCTTACCAACACTGTTCATTTCCTCTGGGCAGAGAAACCCAAATTGCTATTGTGGGAGGAGAGATTTGCACCCTTTCAGGACACAGTAGCAATTTGGAACATTTATTCACTCTCTGAAATGAAAGCCTAAAATTCATTGATTTACTGTAATATATTTTATTTTGTATCACAGAATACCAAAATATGTGAGGAGGGGAATAATGAAGAATTCCCAGGAATTAATAGCATACTCAGTTCTTGAACTATAACATTAATCACACGGCAATTTAATAGCACTGCCAATGCTTGAGAGAAAGTTGTGGTTCCCAGAGTTGGAGCTAGTACAGTGGTTTCTAGTGGATCAGTGGAGAAAATAGCTATTCACTCAAGCTGTACAGCTGAAAATCGTCTCATTTACAAAAACCAACCCAGGGCGTTCGGTTCAGGTTGACTGCAAGCCTAATCGTGATGATATCTCAACTGTGCATTTCAAACTCTGCCTTTGCATGAATAAAGCTTTTCTTCAACTAGATCCTGCTGAAAGGACTTCAAGAGAACCCCCCTTTCTGGTTCATATAAGGGGCAAAGTTCTAAATTTACTGAGATATGTGAACTCTACCAACAAATTTCTTTCACAGCACCTTTTAAGCTGGAGAGTTCCACCAAGGAAGCATGAAAAGGATGCTGATATTTGTGAAGTATGACTTGTTTTGAACAACTATGGAACTGTGGGACCACCTATCCCCAAATGGTTCCTGCCCATCCCACCAGACTTGGTTGAATGGGCATACTCCAGGTCTCCTCAGTAAAGCAGTGTCTCCTGTGGATCTTAGGACATGCACCTTCTCTGTCATGGCACCTGCCTTATGAAATAGCCTTTTCATAGCAGTACAGACAGCCCCAACCCTGCTGGCCTTCTGGAAGGTCAAGAAGACCTGTCTTTTCCCCAGACACTAGAGCTGGAATTAATGGAATTCTGGTATTTGTGTATGTGTAGCATATTGGTAATGAGATTTTCTTTTATAAGGTCACTGATTTAGTTTTTTAAATTGATCTGGTTTATGTATTTTTATCTTTGTTCACCACCCAGAATTTCACTGGTTAGATGGGCGGCCGTATAAAATTGTTTAATTAACAGACAATAGTCTTCCTTATGTATGCATGTATATATGTTCCTTTACTGCAATCTGCTATTGCTTGAAACTTTTAATACAT